ACACAGTGGGGAGCAGAACAGGTGGATCTACTGAAATACACTGCTGAGGGGAGCAGGGTTAGGAGAGGTCTTCTGCACTGTATTTGGGTGTGCTCCCTGATTGGGGGTTGAACTTAGGCCATCAGGTGACAGTGCTGAGACTTAACCCCTAAGCCACCAGGGAGGCCATTGTGAGGTTTATTGTTCATAGGCTTTTCCCCTACTTTTGTAATTAGTGAGAAGTTTGAGAGTAATACTTTGAAATTAGGTGAAATACTAGAGTAATACTTTGAAATGATGTGAAGTCCCATTTACTCCTCATCCCATTTTTAGCTTACTGTGGAACAATAGACTTAGCACCCAATAATGTGTCTAGTCGAAAAAAAATTTTTTTAAGATTTATTTATTTATTTGTACAGAACTGGGGTACAGGCCAGAGATGAGGAGGGTGAGAGGATTCACCAGAGACAGAGCGGGAAGCAGATCAGGCAGATGGACGAAGTACACTGCTGAGGGGAGCAGTGGGCGGGTCAGGAGAGGTCTGCCGCGCCATGTGGTCACCTCCGGGGCAGGCAGGGATCGAACTCATGCGGAAGTGGCCCAAGCCTCTTAGTGTAGTGCTTTAACCCGCTGCGCCACCAGGGAGGGCCATAGTCGAAAATTTTAATTATGATCATCATCATATGGCATTTTCTTCTAAAATTTTTCTCTTCCCCCACTTATTTACCCACTTGTTCACACCATGTGGACTCGTGGAGTCCTGTTTTATTTTAAGGTTATAATCCATTACCAACATTATTTATTTGATCCTTACACTACCCCAATATACATGCTGCTTAACGATAGGGATACATTCAGAGAAACATGTGGTTAGGCGATTGTGTTGCTGTATGAACATCAGAGAAGTAAATACACAAACCTAGATGGCCCAGCCTACTGTACACCTATGCTATGTGGCGCAGCCTATTGGGATGGTCATAGGGTTCATCGCTGCGCAAAACATTAAATGATGCTAAGCGAGGTATGACAGCATTGCTAGCAAGAACCCCTCCAGTTGACTTCTGTGTCCTTTTAACACTCCTCCCCACCCCCGTCATTCATAGAGCACTTTCATTTTCTGGAATAGCAAGATGTTTCAAGCCTACTTTGTCTTTTTTGTCCAGCCCTGGAATTAGCATTTTATCCAAAAAGCCCTGGTTCCTTTAATATTTAGAAGCTAATCTGCCTGTTCTGCTCCCCACTCTGTCTCCGGTGGATCCTCTCACTGGTCCTGAACCTCTAGCCTGTACCCTATTTCTACTTGCATAAATAAATAAATCTTTTTTTAAAAAATTTAGAAGTTAAGTTTTGGAGTCTGTGTGCACTGATTGCTTCTGAGGTGCCACTGCTCTGGGCTTTCTCAGTAGATCAAACTATGAAGTAGTACATGTGTGTGTGTAGTCTTAACCTATACCTATCTATCTGTAGACTAAAACCGCAAGTTCTTTCCTTTCCAACCCAACACTCAGGATTCATTTGAGCTGCCCCTCCTTGCATCTCAGTGAAAAACCTGGCTTCCGCTGCCTCAACTGACCTACTCATTTGTTCAGTTTCTAGGCAGCCATCCAGACCTCTGAAGAGCCATCAAAAGACCCTTTCTAAGGTCCCATTCCCTATCACTGCTCTCTCCTACCTGATGTCCCTATAGCTGCTTGGCAACCTTCTTCCTCAATTAACCTTCCCTATGTTAAGAAAAATGGTTATTCCCTTTCTCTGGGGAACATTCCTTGCCTTCCTCAACACAGAGACATTTTCAAACCTTTTGAGATTCTATGCTATTCCTCCAAGACAGTCCCTTGTGCCTGAATGAATTGTTTCATTTCGACACATTCTCAAAATCTAGGACTTAAGTACATAGATTTATTTTACTTATTTATGCATGCAAGAGCTGGGGTGTAGGCCAAAGGTGGGGGTAGGCGAGTGTGAGAGGATTCATCAGAGACAGAGGGGGAGAAAAACAGGCAGATCTACTGAAATCCATTGCTGAGGGGAGCCTGAGAAGGGGAAGTAGGTGTGCAAGGAGGGGAGATGGAGATAGGAGAGGTCTGCTGCACCACATGGGTCAGCTCCCTGGCCAGGGATCAAACTCTTGCTGGAGTGGCTGGAGATAGCTTCACAGTGCTTAGCCGTAAGCGCTGGCATCACCAGGAAGGCCCTTTAAGCACACAGATCTTAAAGTTTGTCTTTATAGTCATGAAAGCGTACTTGCTTCTTGCTCTTCCTTTTTAGCGAGGATGACCAGCAGCACAAAGTAGCTGATTGGTTGGAGCTTTTGCAAGTCTGGTTAAAAACGAATTAAATTACAATGTCCCCTATCCTGACTTTCAATGATCTTTGCTCCTCCTAGAGACCCATCTATAGATTGCAAGGCAGCGATGGCACTCATTTGTTTCATTCGTTCGTTCACTCATTCACTCACCAATGATTCATCCAGCTATTGGCTGGAGCTGCTTTGTCAGATGGCTTCTCCCACCGGTCTCCTGCTACACTGCCCATGCCCCTGCTTCTTCCTTCGGGATCGGCTCTTATTTATTGCTTGACTGGATCAGACTGTCAGGGTGGGTGGGGGGGAGGCCTTTGGTACCACTTCCTCTTTCCCTTGGCTCATCAGCTTCTCCACAGAACAGGGAGTCACATTCCCAGATACCCAGGTAAAAACAGGGTGTTTACTTGCTGGATGGCTCTGTGCCAGAAATGGAGGGACAGGAGGAGAAGATAGGAGAGCACACACGCACACCTACCCATGTGTTCTGAAACTGAGTTCTCGGCTGCCCCTTCTTACTTCCTCTCCTCATTTTCACTCCACCTACCTCTCCCCACCCACCCTGCCCAAGCATGTGTCTTCTTAGACTCCAGGGCAGCACCCCACTCTACCCCTGGGTTGTAGCAGCAGCCCACTTTCAAGGGGTGGGGTCATGTATTCTAGGCCGAGGAGGGATGAAACAGGGTGGAGCAGCTGTTAGTCACCTTGGGTGACCATGATATTATCGGCTTAACGGTTTCCTCTGGGTAGGCACTTCCGCTCTCCTGTCCTGGTGCAGCCCCCGTTCTGAACAAAAAGCAAGACTAGACATAGGGAGAAAGGAAAGAACCCCTGTGGGCCGTGGTTGAAAGACATGCCTACTGCCGCCACTGGTGCAGTCAGCACCTCTGGGGAATAAAAGGAGAGGAAGAAGCAAGACTGCATGGTTCCAAGAAAAGTCCTCTCTGGCTGCCAAACCTGCCTTGGTCTCCTCACTTTTGTGGCCATGTGGGCGAAATAAAAGCGTGTCACCCTTAATATCTGGAGATGTGGGCCTCTTTCACTGGCCCCAGAATGCCTTACTCAAGGTGAATGAAATATAAAGTCTCTAAATCATTTGAGCTTGCAAATGAGGCTAAGCATTATTTAAAAAAAAAAAAAAAAAAAAACTTCTTTCCAGAAAGCCTACTAAAATGTACAGGGAGGAACGTGAGCGTGGGGAAGTCCAGGGAGCACAGCTAGACTGCAATATGGCTGGTGCTGAACTTCACCCTTGTGTCTGCTGCCCAGATCAGTGATCTTGCCCTATGCTTGGCTGAGTTAAATAAGCTAAAAAACACTCCGATGGTCAGGCTTTTTGTATTTTAGAAAGTCGAGTCTCTGGGAGGTGGCCATATTTCTAAGACAAGCATGACAGTAGCAACAGCTACTTTCTGTACTGGCATGACTCTCATACCTGAGAATCCCTAGGGGTGCTGGACTGATCTCCAGCCTCCCTCCTCCCCCGCTTCCCACCTCTTCCCCCTTGATCTGTACTGACTTCTCCCTAATCCCCTTCACAGTCCTCCCCACCACCCAGCCCCACTGTTCACTTCATTGTGATTCCCCTTTCCTTGGGTGAGTTAGGTCAGGGCTTGGGAGTGGGGAGGAGAACCTGAGAATACAGCTGGGCACAGAGGCATCCCTGCCAGTCAACCCGCTTCTGTGTGCTGGTCCCTGAAGGCATTTCTCCTCTTCTCTGCTTTGGAGGGGGTGAGAAGGACCCAGCAGGGCGCCTAGACTGGTTGGTGGCCAGCATAAGAGCACAGCACAGAAAGAAGCTGTTTCAGATTCCCGCTCCTGCATCCCTGCCTTGCAGTCATCTCTTCTCCAGCCTCCCGCAGACTCTGCTGTCTGGGAATGCCCTGGGGAGGTTTGCTATGTGGGCCCCAAGGGGATAATATATGCAGGATCTTGCTTTTACTCTATTTAACAGGAACAGAGAAAAGGTCCTTTGGTGAGCAGCTGGTGGGAGCTGAAATTCCCACAAACTTGACTGCATCAGTTAGATGTAGGAAAAGATTTACTGTCATGGGAGGCTTAAGAGACTTAGCTTAAGTCTTTATTTTTGTCCTCCTGAACCACAGATGAATATGGATAGTTGCATTTTTTCTGAAAATAGGAGACTGGAAGGTGGAGAGAAAAAGAGGTAGGTGATCCTGTCCCTGTGGCGCTGAGACCTAAGGATCCTTTTCTGGGGCACCAACTGCCAGGGAGTGTCCTCCCAGTTTGCATCTCAAGAAAACCAGGTTTGCAGGAATGCCATTTCAAAAGGCAAGAGGAAAACAAGAAAGTACGGATGGGCAGAAGGAACTAGGAAAGAAGGGAGTTCACAAGGATGAAAGAGCGACTCTAATTTTGAAGGCGGGAAAAAGAACGAAGTAATAATATTGAAAGAGGGAGAGGTTGAGAAGGAAGAGACTGTGGCCAAACCCAGGGTCCTGAAGAAACTTCTTCAGAAAAAGGGGCCAGGCGGTCTTCCCATCCCCATGTTTGGGCAGATTAATGGAGTCGCAGCTCCCTCGCTCGAGTCCTGCCCTGGGAGGGGACAGTATCTGTTTAGATTTGTGTCTAAATTTAAACCCTGATCGCCAGCCTCCCTCCTCCCCCGCTCCCCACCCCTTCCCCCTCCTCCCTCCTCCTCCTCCTTCCTCGTTCTGGCGCTGGGCCCCGGGCCGGGCAGTCCCGCAGTCTCCGAGGGAGCTGGGCGCCGCCGCCCACTCGCCCAGTGAGGGACCCGGGCAGACCCGGGCAGCAGAGCCCAGTCGACTGCGCGATCGCGACCCCAGCCCGGCGCGCGCGGCCCCGCGGAGTTGCACCTGGAGGACTTGGAGGTAAAGGGTCCCTCTGGGGTGTGGGCCGGCGGCCAGCGGGGCCCTGGGCGCCCCCTCCCTGGCAGCTGCCCGGGTCCAAGTGGGAGCGGCGGACCTTCTGCGACCGCCCAGCAGAAGGGCAAAAGCCTGCGCTCCCACGCTCTCCGGCCAACTCCGAGGGTCGTCCCGAGTCCCACCTGGGATTCCCTCTGCTGCAGGTAGGGGGGACGGCCGGGAGAGACCTCAGAGAGAGCGAGCGAGCGAGCGAGCGAGGGAGCGAGCGAGCGAGGGGAGGGGCCTTTCTGCGGTCCAGGTATTTTGGTGGAGCCTCTAATGCTGCAGGCAATAAAAGTTAAGCGGAGCCAACTTTGTAAAGGGGTAAATGTGTGAGCAAAACCTCTCAAGAAAGCAGACTCCCGAATCAGAAGAGATGAATGTTGAAAGAGAAACAGACACTTCTTCACAGCCTGCCGGCTTCCCTTTTTGATTGGAGATTGGCCTTTTAGAGAGCCGCTAGTTCTGCTGGTTCTCTTTCTTTGCAAGCCCCTTTTCTGTATGTCACCTCTTCTTCAGAACTTTCCAAAAAGCTCCCCTTACTGGCCATTTCCTCAGGCAGCTCTACTTCTGATAAAGTGTGAGATTCCTCTGGTTGTGCCTTTCTTCAGAGCCTGGGTGTATTGGGGTGTTGACCACATTGGTGGGGAGCACCAGGGCGAGACTCATACCAGCGGCTTCTTGGTGCTGTTTAAACCTCCAGAGTGCAGAGAGCCACCCTCCTGCTGAGAAGTACCTGGTGTATTCCTCTGGCCTCTCCTATGTATCTGGTAGCTCCCATAAATTTCCCCCTGGATTTCCAGACCCGACATTTAACCCTAAGTCAATGCCAGCAGGCTGCAGGCTAAGAAAAGGAGAAAACAGATTGTGATTCTCATTCATTTCTGAAGGCTGAGCCCTTCTGAGCTTGGTCTGTAGTCAAATCAGTTCTGCTCCCCCTTCCTGGGTCAGGCTTTACTCAGGAGCCCAGAGTCCCATTCAGCTATTCTAGGCTGGACGTACTGCTTGGTCTACAGAACACTGTGACTTCCTTGCGGACATACTTATCCTGGGCAGGAACATTCAAGCATCCAACTCAGTTGTCTTCAAGGAACCAGGGAGGGCTTTATAAAATGTAGGGACCTATGGGTTCACCAAGTCTGAGAGCAACTCTTCATGGGAACATTTGCAAGTCAGGAAAACGTCTACAGGAGAATACAGATGAGCTGGTGTGGGGGGGGTAGTGGGTGGGGGGTTTGGGAGGAAGGAGTCCTTGGAACAGGAAGGAGGTTCTGGCAGCAAAGCTCAACAAGCCATGCTCACAATTCTGCTCAAAGATCACACAACTCAAAGCAACACAACTCCCTCAGAACTGCCTGCAGCTTCTGAGAAGAGGGAGATGGCTCTGGACATCCAGTTCATCCTGCTGGGTGAAGAAAAGTAAAGAGGTTGCTTTAGAAGTGGGTTTAGCCCTCTGGGAGAGTAAGTTAGAGGTTTCATAGCATTTTTGATCTACTGAATCTCTTGCAGAAATGAATTGGAGATAGGAACAAAAGAAATCTTACACTTAAGGGCGGGCAGGTTGCTGCTTGAGGGCTGTGTGCAAGTTTGAGCTTTGCTCTAGGAAGCAACAGAGGGCCATCTTCCACAGAGGCACTTTGGTCTGCTGTAGCTGAGGGAGGAAGACTATGAGGCAGAGGTCCTGAAACTGTCACCTGAGCAGCTTCCTGTGTGGCTGGGGGGCCCTAAAAGAGAAGTCCTTCTGCTCTACAAGCTGAGTTGTATAGTAACTGCGAGGGAATTCCCCAAAGAAGTGAGTGGGAGGGCAGGTATGGGTGGAGGGAGTTGGTCCCCTCCTTGGGGCCTGTTCTCAAGGGTTAGATTTGCTGGTCAGAGTGTCCACTTTTTCTTTGTCAAAACACCCGAAAAAACAAAAACTGTAACAGCTAGTACTGGTAAAGGCAATAAAGAGGAAATGAAGAATAGGGGAAGTGACGTTTCTTAGCCAGGAAGTCAACTTTTCATGATGGACATGATATGCTGGAGTGAGATTTGAGATTTCCTGAAACTCTCAAAGTAAAACCCTCTTTTGAGAGGTAAACGCCACTTCTGAGACATAAAAGGACCACTATTTGGAGAGAGAAAATGAATTATATTACTTCCAGTATTAGGAATTCAAACCTGATAAACAAGGTTGACTTAACACTCATTCTTCAGAACCTACTAACCAACTGAAAATCTTGAAGAAATCTTCCCACCCCCAACCTCAGTCATTGTTACATTTGTCCACAGTATGAGTCATTACTTCCACTTTCTTTATGTCTAATTAAGGTAAAGATGCTTTTTAAAAAAAAATTTACAATCCAATAGGGAAAGTGAGACCTCTATCTTGTGACATATTTTTAAGTGTGTAAGTGTTATTATAAACCACACATTCTATAGTATTTAATATTCTATGGCAATGCTTGAAATAAACCTTGAAAGAAAGGTGGATGGTGAAGATAAAGCATAAAAAGTCGGTATAGGGAGAATATGCCATTTTGTTCTAGAAGGTGTGTCAGTGGGCTGGAATGGAAGGTAGTGAAGCAATAAGAAAAAAAATTGAAAGTACTAAGATGAAAACCACAGGGACTGTGAGTATAATAGATTCTGGTCAAGTGGATGAGTGAGAGCTGGAATCCAAGTTACACCGAGGAAAGGGTTACTTTTTACTCACACAAAATCTCCTTCCCTGGCTGTGGGTTCCCCCACCCCACACCCCCAAGCAATAGGTTTTTCTAACTCAGACATAGATCAGCTACAGTTCTGAAATCTAGCCAGTGGGTGGCCCAGGATTCCACTCCTTGAACAGTAGGAAACTTTTAGAGGTGTTGAGTAAGATGGCAGCCACAGTGTCATGGGAGTAGTATGGCAGAAATGCCACTTCATAGAGTAAGCAAGGGGCCATGTTAAGGTGCCTCTCTGAGGTTCAAGCATATTTTTAAAAAAGATTTATTCTACTCATTTATGCATACAAGAGCTGGGGTGTAGGCCAGAGCAGGCGAGACAGGAGAGGTCTGCTGCTCCATGTGAGTTAACTCCTTGACTGAGGAAGCAACTCTTGCTCCAGTGGCTGGTGATAGACTTGATAGCACTATCTTTAACCCATACACCACCAGGAAGGTCCCCTCAACCATATTTTGACTTTGAGAGGCAATGAGAATGGAAAAGATAGAAGAGTAAAGATCATGTATTGTAGAAGAGATCAGAAATGACGACTGTTTGAGTGTGCCAGGGTGTCCAGAAGACGCCTTCTCCAAGATGTCACAGAAAAGGACAGCTCTGACAGCCTTTTGTACACAGGCTTACTTAAGTGTTCAGGACTTAAAGTTTTCAGAGATTAGCACAGCTCCTAGATTATAATCATAGAGTTTCTCAGTAAGCTTCCCTGATAAGTAAACTAACAGAAATAGGGAATGCCTTCCTCTCTCCATCTGCAGCTCCTTTGTGTCCACCTCAGGAAGTAATTGTTGGCTTACCTGGCTCTCCTCAGAAGGCCCTGGATGGTGGGAACCATATCTGAGCTGTCTAGGGTCTGCCAGGCACTCCAGAAATGCTTGCTGAATGAGTAAATCAATGTTGAAGACAGAAAGAAGAACAGATTTTTTGAAAGTAGGATACGGATGTGTTGGGTTTGTTCTCAGTAGAAATGTCTAGTACTCCAGACAAATACAGACTTTTTATGATACAAGTATGAAGAATTAGCAGTGAATTCACGCTGGAGAGGAACCCAGGAGAGAAATATACAGCAAAGAGAGTTGCAGACTAAGACATCAAAGTGAAATTAGTATTCTTGGTCATTTAAATATAAATGATAGACACTATCCAATCTGCTGAGAATGCTTGCAAAATGTTTAATTTTCATCGACTAAATCCTTCATTTGTTTAACTGAATAGGCATGAAAATTAAACTTATCTCCGACAACCATGTGGCTACTGTTTAGTTGGGAGGAGAAAAGGATACAGTCCATGAAATTTAAAATTTCTTGCTAATGAACAAACGAGTATCTGGCTTAGCTGAAGATAATTAATGAATCCTTTTTCTCTAAGTCCTTGTCAGAAATTATTTGTCATTCATCCATTTATTTAGTATTTACTGGGCATTTTTATATAAGCAAGTTTTTGTGTTTTAATCGTTAATTTTAAATTATTGGACTGTCTTTATCCTCAGACTACCAGTATTACTGATGTCTTGTGTGAGTGATCATGTGTGTGCATATGTGTGTGTGTATACATCTGTACATACTGGTGTCTAGAATGTGTTCATTTTGTACACTACTTTGTCATCACTATCTTTATTTCATTCAAAATCTTCTACAATTTCACTTATAGACCTCGCTGCCTTTTGGCCTTTCCTCCCATGGAGTCCTCTATTGGCTGACGGGAGCTTTGGGGTCATAGTAAGGGATGGCATGGCCTCTGGAAGATGGCGCTTGGCTCAGTGGACTTCTGGGCAGGCCTCAGCACCCCCCCCCCCCCGCATTCCTGTCTGGCTCCCAGGGGCCCTGTGGGACCCCTGCAGAAACACTGGCTTCCACTTCTCCACACCTTCTCCTAGCTGGGCTGCCCTGACAGGGGAATTTGGGGGAGGGGGCTGCTAGGCCAGGCCCCTATCACTGGAGGCGGTGAGCAGAGCATTCCTGGAAGGGAGTCAGGTTTCAGAGCTTGCTCCACAGTGTGGCTCCTTGCTGCAAGGCCAGTGTGGTTCCGTGGGAAATCTGAACACTGGCGGCTCAGCGGCCCGGTAATCTTATCAGGGCAGCAAGGGAAAGCGTTTTGGTTCCAGAAAAATCCGAAGGCTGCTCTGTCTTCCTCCAATTGGAATGTTTTAGGTTTGCAGAGCCAGCTCGACCACCCCTACTCAGCTCATTGGGATCTAAATGTCTCAAGTTCTGGGTAGAACTGAACAATCTCCAGTGCCCCGCTGCTACAATATAAAGGAGAAAACC